AAGTGTAGCCGCCATCCCGTGATAACCATATACCAATGTTTTTCTTCAGTAATCCTGCTCCAAGGTTAGCATGGGCTACAATAATACCCACYGCACTGCTGTCRCTGATAGGAGGCATCGCCACATTGACACCTCGACTTAGACTGAACTTGTTRTGGATGTGCAATGCACACACCTTACCCTGAACAAATGGATGGGAGAGTGAATTAACATATGAATGGATTGATGAATGAATAAAAACAAAATCTGAAATAGATACAAGCTTTTTATTGAATAATTCCTTACAGATGGACAAAGAGTCTTGTCTGTTATCTTGATCAGATTCCACTCCCCTCCTCTGTCAAATGTTATGACTGATGTGATAGATCTGTCTGTAATAAAATAGAAAATAACAGCATTTCAACAAAATGTATGAGTATGACAGCTATACATACTTGCAGGATAAGCTATATTYTTGCATATGCAGTCTTTCCATGATCTCAAGAAGCATGTGAATCGTATATTCTGCGTCACAGAAGGTATAACTTACCACTGTTCATTTTGCTTGTAATATATGTGCCATTCATTGATTCTACTTTATAGAAATCTGTTACAGAGTCAAAGTTTGTGTACTGCAAGAAAGAATTGAATAGTTTATAGAATCATTGAGTTCATAAACAACAACTTGCTAATTAGCCACAGTATTGGAACAATTAAGTAAAGGAATCAATATGAGGCGCCATGCATAAAGCTCAGTCATTAAAAGACAACAGTTTTTCATGATTGACTACGCTTTATGCATGATGCCTTGTCTYGACTCTTTTGTGCTCGACTTCCGAGGCGAAATTTGGAAATTGTTTATTTTGGCAATCCATGACTTCAATTTAACCTCGATGGAAAACCTATAATGTGTGCCATCAAGATATAATGGTGACAAAGAAGAAGAAAAAGAAGATGCAGGTAACAGCTTACCACATGGTTATCCAGTGATTTATCATAAACAATCCCATCGGCATCAGATGTGTATAGTAYGCCTTTACCAGTATCTACAATTAAAAAGCATCATGACACAAACTATTATTATAATAATATGACAAACAAAATGAAGCTCTAGCTCCATTCCGACTAGAACCTTATGCGAAAGAATTATTTATCTGCTGAAATACATAGTGATGGCTGCATTATATCAGCTTTACCTCGTTCCTCATCAACATGCAAAAACACCATTCCTTCTGACATGTCCAAAATGGAGTAGAACTGACAAATATAAATGATTATTTAATTAAAAAATTGGTAAACTCTAAATGCAAAATAATAGGTGATATGCATTATGGCGTCATTTACTATAACTACCAGAATGCTTTGCAAACTTTCTTTTGTAATGCAATTAGTGCCAATTGTTTTATTAATCTCCAAGTTGATTAAAAATCTGAATAACAATGAAAATGTGCAAGGCTCTCTGGTAGTTGTAGTAAAGTTACGTCATGATGCAAATGGCCTATTGGAAACATAAGATATTTAATTATAATAATTACATGTACATGTATTAGCTGTTAATAACAGTGGTTCGTACCTGCTCTGGTAAAATAGCAGGAACGCCTGCAATATCTTGTGTGTCTCCGCCATCCTTGGACACATGCATAATCCTTGTTCTGTTGTTCTAATAAAGGAAATGTATGTCACATCATTTTAGAGTCATATGAGTGGGAAACGTACAGTAGAAATTACCACACTGTTACCACACGGTTACCGCACAGTTACCGGACCTGGCCTGCACAATTGTTGTGAACCAACGGGGCGCTAGAATTTGGTTACAGTACGATTACGGTCACAGTACAGTACCGTCTGTTTCCCACTTATACGAAATTGACTCTATATTGATTTGTACACCAATTCATGTTTTATTTGTAAACAAACCTTGTTGTAGTCCACTGTAAAAAACAGGAAAGGCCCTTGGACACCAAATGAGTAAACATGTCGACTAATTACTGAAATGAGATATCAAATAAATATTGACATTAACGGAAACAACTTAGGAAAAGTTATACGGTAGGATATGCTTTGTAGAAAGTACTAAAACCAGAAATGTTGTGTATCATTCAGTCTTACATTTAAAGTCTTTGCCAAGATTTCTTGTTCTCCATAGTTGTAAGTCATAGATATTGACAAAACCTGTAATATGTAACGGTTTTAATAATTCATTTAGTTAGAATAATAATTAAGTTATAAAAGATGATCATGTGTTTATGTACCACGTTCAACTGGAGCCGTAGTAATAAATATTGTTTGTTCGTCCTTCTCGACCCTCAGATCCTGCCTTACCCCCCTGAAAGACAACAAACAAAGTTCATTACTTGTAAGTGATGCGACTGGTTTTACAAAAACACAAAATTCCTTGATTTAGAGATAGGCTTACCATTTTACACTTGTGACATATGGCCTGAGTTTCTTCCAGGTAAATCCAAAATCAGTCGACAAATATGCCTGATAAAAATAATAAAACTTCTTTAACCAACATAGAAATGATATAGACTATCAAAAATATCATCTAGTGATCTCACMCACATTGCCTGATCTGCATGAATATTTGTCTCTCTGATYAATAGTTAAAAAAAGAGAGAAAAGCTGTATAGCAAGGAGTTTTGATTTGTTGCAAAAGACCTCTCTACAGCATATAATTTATAATCTATCATTTATCGTGCATACAATGTATCACAAATAACGACATCTTACCCCTTGCTGTATCGATGATCCCTTAGCTATCAACCAGTTCTTATTCCGTGGATGAAACTCRATACTGCCACTCACTCTAAATGGAAGAGAAACCYTCTTCCACTTYATGGCTCCATCCTGAGATATGTACAGTGTTGATGGTCTTGACAGTATTGGCATACTGAACGACACCAGAATTACCTGCAATTTTCAGAAATTGTCAACGCAAACTTAATGTATTCTTCAAACAATTCAATGTCAAAATATATGTTAAATACCCATTTAGGATCAATTGGACTTCTTTGAATACCAAAATCCTTTCTGATGTGACCACCAAAAATATCTGTATTGATTTCCTTGAAGGTTACACCACAATCAGTACTAGAAGAGATATACATTGAGTTGTATTAATAATGGAGTATATAATAAATGCACTTAGTAAAAGGTTAAGGACCCACTCAYACTCGCAAAGAATGGCTGGGTACAATTTTTACTACTAACCTCCTGTACAGAGCTGACCGTTGTATTGAAAAAATAAAGAATTCTGTTGTGGCCAGGAGTAAAATAGTCTRAAATCAGAAAAATATTCATTTCATATGTCAAACGAAAAAGTATGAAAACCAGTTCTATGTAAATAACGATGAAAAAAAGTTCTTTTATTTACAGTATAAATCGTGACGTAAAACAAATTGAACGTCAGCATTTTTAATTGTAAAAATTATGSTAATCAGATGCAGCGTTTGCAGGTTGCATATTGAAAGCAACTACAAAAGTTTTAATGTGAAAACTTCTCATTCAAATATGGCCATTCAAAGTTGACGTGGTCGTAATATTAAGAATTAACTTAGGTCTATTTCCTTCTATCAGGACATCACGAAACAGCTATTTTTAGACGTGCAATAAGCTTATTGTGCTGTAAAAGTCAATAAAACGAAACGACTTTACTTACCTCGAATTTATCACCAACCCATGTCATTGAAAACGAAAGATGATTGTCATTGGCTGGGAACTTATACTATCAAAAGGGAAAAATCCTATATTTAGCCTTATTTATCAGGAATCTGAACAGGTCTTGTGATAAATTAACTAATATAAGCTTAGCTAAGCTTAAACGAGTTACTACTTTTAAAATGGCAGCTAGGATTTAAATCTAAAAGTCAATTTTTGTTCGGTCTTTAATTACCTCATATTTATTGATATCCCTGCCTTTAAGATCAGTTGGATTTYGGCAACCACTGCTATCTCGTCGAATTCTTTCTTTTCTAAAAGTATTTTTTCTTCGTGTACTGTATTGAAGTCGATCAAGAAACTGCCTTCGCGTCAGRRCGACAGTGTGTTTATCTTTCTTTGGCAGCTCAAAGCTGTCCTTAATGACAGAGTTTGCACGAAATTCCCTTCCTTGCACATAAATTGATAGTCCAAATAACGATAAAAAGACCAGAACAAAATTTACATCCATGATTTTAGCCCCTTTTCTTGATAGTTCTTTATGATGTTATATTTTGAATGCAGCTAGTGGCATAATTAGATGCACGATAGTCCACTGACCACTACACAGGGTACCCAAAGGGCATTCCTATRACACTTTATGACGTCAATAATCAGACTTTATCTTTTAGGGAACATTTCTCGCAATGAAATTAATTCATGAGGACTAAACATGCAGTTTTGCTTGTGTGCWTCTTCTTGGCTTTCATTCCTCGAGGTACTTCACGCTCGCAGTTTCTTTTGCTTGGTTTAYTTTTCGATCATAGTTTCTAGTCACTCTAGTTTCTAGAGTTTCTGTTTCATAGTTATGTTTCGTTAATGCTTTCTTAATACTTATTCAAGAAATACACATTGCAGGGTATACTTGCGCAAAGCACGATACTCAAGAATCRRAACCGATGGACGAAGAACAAGACTCGATGATAGATGTTTCTATCCGCAAGAGGAGAAATATAAGTAAGAGTATTGCTTATCTTTTAAGACACCATTTATCAGTGATCATACGCGTTGTATGCCTCGTTTGCGTTGCATGCGCAGCTGTGAAAAGTCAGCGTAATTCGTCAATCCTGTGAAATGGTGCGCACATAGAATCGACGGGTTTTAATTCTCTTTTTTATAGTTGACAATGCCAAAGACACCGTCAGCTCAACTAATGATAAACTACGTTGGATCAAGAAAAACTTTCGTTATTTATTTCTGATGGTAGCGTCGGGATTTGTTTTGTTCTTYAGTTGTGCTGTTTATAGACGATGTACAAGGGACAACACTGCAGAGTAAGTAATGRTTGTCATCGTTTATAWGAACATATGATAATGATGAATAATGATCAGCACACGTGGGTAYGCATACTTATTAGTGCGACTTGATGGTTCGMGAAGAGCTAATWATCCTTACAGACRGACKGAWTACTGGCTGCTAACCCATGAAATTGAAATGTGAMCTTCCCTAGGTAGACAATCTCAGTGTTTGTCATTCACGATAGTGTCATCAACTGCACATGCGTGATGRATAACACTTGGATGTCAAACAAATTGTTATTCTCCCACATGGTTACCGTATARRGTGAAATTTTAGATTTGATTTCATKTTTTCACAGCAATGACGATGRRATYCAAGTGGTTGTTGTAGGAGGCCCACGWCAGCATTATACCAACACTCCACCCACACCCACACAGGAACYACCATCCCGACCCCCTCCCCCAAAGCAGTCCAAGCCCAAGAAWCCACCAAACTCGAAACCAAAGTCATTTAAMAACAAAAAGWCAAAGAAAACAACATTACAGTCAAAKAAAGKTAAAACTAGAGCTGAGAGTTRTTGTGACAGTGACGAAGGATCAATTTGCAGAAGTGTTGATAGCAGTGAACAATTGCTCAACCCGTGTATAAAGTACAATGGAACTGATATGGGCGAMGGTGAAAATGGCGACACACAGTCCTTTCGAAACCTCAAAGACCCACTTCCTCGAGGAGAAATCRCATCACGTGTCGTCCACGAGGGAATCCCACTTTCGTGTTTTATGTCGTATCAACAACTYACWGACATGGGAYCACAWGCGAGTTMTCTCTCCCAGTATCTCCACGARTTGAGACTACACGCCGCGCAACTCCACGCAGAGGACRCGGCATTCGYGGGACACACGAGCATGGATATGTGGCCTATTGTGGAGGACATCTATATGAATGACCGTCTTAGTGCCTCGCTACACGAGAGACGAGGACAGTATTACCCAACAGCGTCTCCTGACACACAATTACCGATAACTGCTGCAGCCAATTAGACAATATTGTGCAGTTATGAGGTGGATATATGTTGTGTACATACCGATGAATACTGATACAATAAAACTGTCAAAAACCCATCCGCTTAAAAACGGTTTTCCTGAAATTCGGATTACTATATCAACGAAAGTGAAAATATCATTTTTTATTATTGGACAATACCTAGCAAATACACATCATTAGTGAACGATACAAAGATCGTCCACCTSTACAAAAATTCAATTCCTAATAAATATAAAAATTTGCTCGACTCTTTATCTACAATTTCACAATGCATTCGTCTATATACAAGGTAAAAATTTCTTAAATACGTCACATTAATTTTTTTCCTATTTTCATTCGATCGCATGATGCGTGGACTATTTCGTTGAACGTAAGATACTCCGTTGAACKCGGAGACATTCCTTATGCTATACCTAAATGCGTCGCATGCTCACCATCCACGAGTAAGTCAGCGTTTATATTATCCACTATTTATCCATGTCGTGTATGGTTCAGTATAGTTATGATATCAGTGGACGTAGGATCGAGGTCTGCTACGTTTGTATCGCACGCGATCGTTAGGGAATCGTGCCATCAGCAACGTTTGTTCTAGAGGGGARGGCTTAGCATGTTTTGGACCAGGTTTCTCTGACACCAAGACAAATCGCCTAATGGAAAAACAGTGTYAATAGAACCACAGAACTAACTTATAGTTTTACTCCAGTGAATRAACACTCTTAGGAAGTGCAAAGGAAGGAATGGAGGGCGTAGTTAGGATGAAAGATAGAAAAAACGGAAGTGAAAGGGACGACAGAAGAAAAGAAATGAGAAATAAGACAGAGAGAAAGATGTAGAAGGATTGAAAGGAAGTGAGAAGAGGAGGGGGGAGGAAGGGGTTGAGGGGAATTAGTTGTAGGTAAAAAGGGAGGAAGTTGTCGGAAGGGAGGACTCAAGATAGGAATAGCGACAAGTAAGGAGGACGGAAGTAAGAGGGGAGAATTGAAGTACATACCTGCATTTACTGGGTATTGAAGCCGCTGTGTTTGGTCTCATTATTACTTTAGCAATATTAGCAACATTATGATTGTTAGATGTCCTWAGGTTGATAAGAGAACGGGCTTCAGGAGTCAAGTCATCGCTACCCTGACGAGGATGAATACGTAGACGATACGGTCGTTCTGAAACGAGTTCTTTTTCTTTAAGTAGCTGAACTGTCTCGTCCGTTGATTTTGTAGGCGTCTGAGGTGACTGTGGATCACGTGGTTGCACAAACTCGATTGTTGGCTCTGGTTTGGTTACGTCAGCTTAAAGAAGTTAAAACAGCAACAATAAATGCAATGTAAGATGCCAAAAATACAGTAAAATATTACAGAACCTACCAACTGCGCAGTCATAGTGACTCCCCTTCTTCCATTGCTGTTTACGTAGATTCTGGTGAGCCTCTCTTCGTTCCTTGGCGCTCTTTTGCCTCTCATGACGCTGCTGCTTCAGTAATCGTGCCCTAGAAATATTGACATTGATGACAGGTTGACTGAATGATTCATTGGCGAATTGATTGACAGGTTGACTGAATGATTCATTGATTGATTGACTGGTTGACTGAATGATTCATTGATTGATTGACAGGTTGACTGACTGAATGATTCATTGATGAATTGATTGATTGGCTGGAAGACTGAATCATCAATGATAGATTGAATCGTCAACTAATTATCTGATATAGTGCTTAATAGTCTTCTTCACGGTTACCTGTGCCATCTTGAAAGGTAGCCGTGCCTTTGCATCGAAGCGAGACGACCGTTGAGCGTGCAATGATAAAAACATTCTTTCACACCTACAGACAATTATTCACAGGTATCTATCAATGCACGCTCAACGGTTGTCTCGCTATGTAAAGGCACGGCTACCTTTCAAGATGGCGCTAGGAACCGTGAAGGAGACTATTGACTGACTGAACGATTGGCTGTTTTAATTGATTGAAGAAGTCTCATTACCGAGATAACACGATGTCCTGCCAGTCCCCTGCATAGTCGTCCACTTCCAACGAAGGGAAATCAAGAGAAGAAAAAGGTCTGAAATGGATGAGATTTTCCAGTTAGTGTTCACGACTACGTACATTAGGGAWTACTGATGAAAATGAACATGATCACGCACCTCTCACCAACCGAATGACATCTTATGTAAGGGTCTAAATGAACTTTGTCGTAATCATCCTGCCAGAAAAAAAATCAAATGTAATATATATATATATATATATCAATAACAGAATCACTGATTGTGTAGAACTCTTTTAAAATCATTTTATGTGATTACAGACGACCTTACCACAGTGTTAATGAAATCCAGATTGTCAAACATATCTTGATAAACAGCGTTGTCTGGTGACAAGAACAAATGACTTGTGGAAAAATGACAATGTAGGACGAAAAATGCAGAGAAAACAAACCGAAAATAGAGAAGATGTCGAAAGTGTTGATAAAATTGGCCCTGTTAACGTAGACATGATGGTAGTGATTGCGGTGTTGTTGTGTGTGATGTAGTGACGATGTTGACGTTGATAACGGCGATGATAACGCAATTCACAATCAAAATGTACATGATAATAATAGAGCGGTTTTCGTATGAGTGTGACACCGTTACCGCACGGTTACCGCACAGTTACCGGACCTGGCCTACACAATTTTGGTGAACCAATGGGGCACTAGAATTTGGTTACAGTACGATTACGGTCACAGTACATTACCGTCCGTTTCCCACTCATACGAAATCCGCTCTAATTATCTGATAATTGTCATCTTGATAACAGTATTAAAAAACAGTGTTGCAATATTACTTTCTCTGGTGTTCCTCTGTCGAGTTGCTGGTGCAGTCTTAGCCCGTGGGACTGCCCCTYGGGTTTTTGATCGTCGGGTAGTATCATAAGGAAACATCATGAACTGTTCTTGTTCTTCACCACTAGTTGCGACACTTGCGTTCGATGGACGTTTATCAACAGAGGCACCAATGAAAAACATCTTGTCTAAAATCAAAAATGATTTGAATAGAACTGCCCTCTATGGTGGCTACAGGGAATGGTGGCAAGACAAAGAAAACACAATACCTTCTTCAGTTTCCTCGCWGTCTTGTTTATCGTCAAGTGTAGTGCTTTTCACAGCACTCTGTGTACTGCCAGGTCGAACAGGTTTGGAAGGAAAATGAATTTGTTTGTTGGTCTTCTTAAATGCGTTCAAACACCACTTCATTACGTCATCTTTTGTACTTTTAAGCCCTTCGTCCGCTGACACAATAGAACGCACGACGGACTTGTCAGTGCCTCCGTAAGACGAGGATTCCCCACTTACACTTAACATATCAAAGTCGTCGTCTTGAGGCGAGGAAATGTGATTATTGTCAAYTTTGTACACGGGGTAATTCCCTCTCTTTTGTCGTTGTCGTTTTTCACGTCTTTGCTGCCTAGCAACATTATCCTTTCTGTTCCTCGCTAAAGCAAAAATAGTTAATGGGGACAAATTGTGGTCTTTGTCTTGTCCCCTCGATATAATGCTCCCTTGTAGATAAGGGTCCTCAGTGGGWACTACATACATTCTACCATCAGAACCCCTAACTCTTTGGTTCCTTTCGCTTTGGAAATTTGGTCCCGATGGCTTCGTTGTATGCTTTTTTGGTTGCTGCTGAATATCAAAGGAAACAGATTTATGTTTCTTGGTTCGAGAGGTTCCTCGACTTGGTGAGGTCTTTGAGGTACCAGCCATACTAMCATCATCACGTATGCTCTCTTCATCATCGATTTTAAGGATTTTTGCACCCTCCGGCATTTCATCCAGGGTACTTTCTACTGTATCCCCTGTATCGGGGTCAATGTAAACAAYACGTATAGTCCCTGGGTCTACATCATCCGGTAGTTCAAAGTGCAATTTAGTCCAGTCGTCGTCTTTACTTCCATTGCCTTCGTGGGCGTTATCTACTACTGTTTTGTGTTCTTCGTCGATGTTCTCGTCGTTATTTTCTGGTTGGACGGAAGCATTCTGCTTTTCTTCTATTCCGCTCTTTGAATGTTGCCCATCTTCCTTTGATACAGCTGAATAATGATAAAAAACACATTATTATACAACAACAATTTGATAAGCTTTTAAGTAAATATAACAACAAGGATAGAAACTAAACTTACCTTCGTGGTTTTGATT